GACTGTGGCTCTCCATCAATTATTCTGTCAGGATAGATAGCACCCTGATCTAATACCACAAAATTAGATGTGCTGCTCTGGTATGATATTCCCACTGTAATTCCACTGTAAGACACTGCCATTACAACAAGTATTGTACAATATGCCAGTAAAACATAAAAGACAGCTTTAAAATTAATGCGATCATTAACTAATACTAGGGAGAAACAGAATAGCATCATTAATCCAGGAATCCAATGGAAATTATAATTTAATTACATAAATTATTATGCCGTACATGTATAGCTAGCGATTCAGTTCATTTACAATGTTATTATGACAGTTGATATTGAGCTGAGGCAACAACTGTTACATAACTTGTTGTAGTTTTGGTATAGAACTTGAGTCACACCATGCATGCTCTACTATCCATGCATTGTCACACTCAAAATGGGCATGCAGTCCCAGGGGATTGCTAGGGACTTGCCATAATTTAATTCTGAACTATGATCTTACTCCAGGCAGATGCTTTCTGCATAGCTATGCTTACTGGCATGGAGCACTATTATAGTATAGCCAGCGGCATAACTATATATATATATGAGAATTGTCAGTTGCATATGAAATATCTAGACTATCTCTATATTGTATACCCCAGGCTACAAGCATTCAGTGGGCTAATAATACTTACACTTACTAGATCTATCATTTGTAGCCATTCCACAATAGACTTTGTTAGTCTACTTTCTGCTGCCAAGCCGCGCGGAGATTAGACCTTCTATATTACCCCATAGATACTATGATTACCCGTTATTGTTACGAGGTTTAACAATAATTTTTGCACATTATATTAGTGGCCCAGTGGGCAAGGCTTTGAATCAAAATGGCTGCCTATGTTCACAGCAAGATGTCTGGTGGCTTGGCTGGTGGAAAGGGCTACCAAGACCTTCTGGACCAGATATTGTCAAAATATAAGAAAACAGAACTTAAGGAAGCACTAGAAGCTTTCCTGACATCATGTAAGATAATATGAAAGGAAATATTTATTTATTAAGGAACATGCAGCCCTTGATGAAAGATTGAGTCTTGTTGATGCCAAATCCGTCCTGTCTTTCTTTGCTGAGAGAATCCCGAGAATAGGCAAAGACATTGTAAAGGACGTCTGTCACTTTGCACTAGCAAGCATTCAACCTAGGATAGTTTCATTTGAAGAGCAAGTACTGTATTTTAATTATTGAACTGAATCTTTACTTTTCTTCCTTGCCCCTCCCCCCTCTCTCTCTCTAAGGTCACCAACATTAGACTAGCACTGAGTAAAATATATGAAGAAGACGGTCAATGGAGTAACAGCGCTGAAGTATTGTGTGGGATCCCACTTGAGAGCGGACAGAAGTGAACCATGTTATTATTATTATTATTATTATTATTATTATTATTATTATTATTATTATTATTATTACTATTAATTAGAATATACACTGCTGATTTCAAGATGGAGGTGTATTTAAAGATTACCCAGCTGTACCTTGAAGATGAAAACCACGTCTCGGCTGAGGCCTACCTGAACAGAGCTGGACTGTTACAAGCAGAGGTCAGCAAAGGACAACTTCACATCATCTATAAGGTTATTAATTAGTGGGGGCGGGGTTAAGTGAATAAACTTTTGCTAAGGAGAGCTCTGGCAATATGACGATTTATTAATACCATATCACTTAGGTTTGTAGTGCCAAGATGGCCGACTTTAGACGCAAGTTTTCAGATGCTGCAAGAAGATACATTCAACTCTCATATGAATCAGCTATACATCCAGATGAAAGGATGACCTCATTAAAACGAGCAATGATATGTACTATACTGTCTAGTGCTGGTAAAGAAGGAGAGAGGGTAGAGGGAGAGGGAGGGGAGAGAAGGGATGGAGAATTAAGAAGCATTATAGATTAATGATGATACTCTTGCTTCAGGTCAGCAAAGGTCAAAGCAGCTGGCAGCTTTATTTAAAGATGAAAGGTGTCAGCATTTGCCCGCCTTCAACATTTTGAACAAGATGTACCTTGAAAGGATCATCAGGCCATCAGAACTGGAAGACTTTGCTGCTTTGCTCTCTCAGCACCAAAAGGCTACGACTGCTGATGGTAATCCTGACATTTTGTGTTTTAATTTTTTTGATGGAGGCATGTTTAGGCTTTAAAGTAAAGTTACACAAGGAATTATTAAAAGCTGAAATTAATAGTGTTGTTTTTTGTTAGCAATAACTAAAACTAAATCCTGATTTAGTAAGCTGTTTTCCTTAACTAAAACTAACGTTATTAAAGCAACACTGGAAATTATCCCACTTTCATTACATATGCAATTAAAGATAATCTCTCTCTCTCTCTCTCTCTCTCTCTCTCTCTCTCTCTCTCTCTCTCTCTCTCTCTCTCTCTCTCTCTCTCTCTCTCTCTCTCTCTCTCTCTCTCTCTCTCTCTCCCTACCCCTGTCTATGCAAGCAAACAATGGTCTGTTACAGGGCAGTAAATTTGATGTAACAATAATTATACATGTACATAAACACCTAATATTAATATTAACTTTAATTAACTAATTTTAATTAAGTAACTAACTATAATTAGCACATGGCATGTGTAAATCAAGATGGCCTCCCACTCAAAAGATAGTAAGTCCAATAAGATTTTATCTAAACTCTAACCTCCACATGTAGTCTAATGTAAACATAGCAGCAACTTATATATCATCATTTATACTCATTGTCACTTTGCCTTAGTATGAATGTTACAATGTTGCATGCTCATGTTGCTAAATTGTCACACATACACTATAATATACACATGCTGAATGATTCACACAGAACACATACCTCATACTTTTGTCACTCCTTTAAGCGTAACAAAA